TTATTATTATTATTATTATTATTATTATTATTATTATTATTATTATTTAATCTTTGGTGAGATTCACAGCCTTTGGGGCTGGTTGGTAGCTTAACAACTTGAGTCCGAACTAAGGACCTAGGAACTGTTCAGGTAGCGTCAGAGGATATAAGCTGATATATTGATAATGATGATTATTATTTTTATTATTTGCCACCCAAAAAGGCACCAGGTCTTATTTTGGGGGCATGTCATCCACTGACCAACCTCACTTGCGCGCGTCGCCCCCTGGCCTCCTTCTTGCTGTCAGAGGCCTTCAGGAACTTCTTCTGCCACCAGCAAGGCTTTCCTGAAGGACTCTGCAACCGATAACAGAGCTTGGATCGATCCTGAGCTTTGGTGTGAGCTCCAGAGGCCTTCAGAAAAGCCTTGAAAGCCTTGCCGGCTGCCGAAGAAACGGGCCGGCAAGGCAGGTGTCGGGGGTGTGCGAGGCCTGGCTACAACTGTCCAAAGGTAAGTAGTAGGTCAGCTCCACCATCTCTATCCCCACCCTAGCTTAATGTTTACCCGTCCACTCTGAAGTGGGCGGGATATTAATTAGGGCTTATTTTGAGGGGTAGGGCTTATATTGGGCACAAGCTAGGACTTATGTTCAGGGTAGGTCTTACTTTCGGGAAACTGGTAATTCAGTAGCATGGTTGCTAATTGAATCCGGCTTCCTCGTTGACTTCACTCATCGGAAGGTCGCAAAAGAGGATCACGTGACCTCCGGGACACAGCGAGCGTCATAAATATGAACTGGTTTACCAAACAGCTGAATTTTGATCATGTGACCATGGGGAATGCAGCAACCGTCGTTAAATGTGAAAAACAGCTTTTTTCCAGTGCCATTGCAACTTCGCACAGTCACTAAACGGACTGTTGTAAACCAAACATGGCCTGAACCGAAATAATTTTTTTGCGATCCCCTCTGGCGATCTTCGTGGTGAGCCAAGCCAACGGGGAAGCCCATACTCGCTTAACGACCAGGTTACAAACTCATCAGCCGCCGTGATTCACTTAACAGCTGTGGCGAGAAAAGGTGTCAAACGGGGCAAAACTTGTTTTACAAATGTCTCACTCAGCAACAAAAATATTGGGCTCAATCCTGGTCGTAAGTCGAGGATTACCTGTAAGGTACAGGTAATCCTCGACGTGCAACGGTTCATTTAGCAACCATCATGGTCACAAGTCGAAGATTACCTATATTTTATGTGTAAGTTCCCCCCTCCCCCGAGTTGCCTCGTAGTAAGATGAGCAGCCAGTAAATTTTATATAAAATAATAATAGTAAACGAGTGTTTTGTTCTTTCACCAGGCAAAAGCTGTGTCATCTCGCGCAAGAGGGATGAATCGGATGAAGAGGAAACCCGGAAACCGGAAGAGCATCTCTCTCGGGTCAGGCAGGTAAATGACAGGTGGGACGGGAGGGTTCAGCCATGGCAGACACCCATGTGCCTCTGGAGAGGGAGGTGGAAGGGGCCGATGGGCGAGGTGATCGGAAGGAACAGACAAGGGGGCGGGGCTCCCCATGTTTAAATAAACGTTTTTCTGGGCACATTTGGGAAGCCGTCGAGTGATTTCCCCATTATTATTATTATTATTATTATTATTATTATTATTATTATTATTATTATTATTATTATTATTATTATTATTATTATTATTAAATTATTATTAATTATTATTATTATTATTATTTTCATCCTTTTGTGCTTTTCTACAAGCCAAGAACAGCAGCTTAACGCACTTGTTTTCCCTTAATTCCTCTTTGAATATAGGTGACAATTGGTACCGCTTATTATTCGGGGTGGGCGGCTGGCTGGCTGGCTGCTGGGTATTGGCGGTTTGGGCTGCAGGGGGATTGTTGGCTGCTAAAAGAAGCTTTATAAATGGTCCCTTTGACGCATCGTAGCATAGAATAGAAAATAATAGAAAATATAGCATAGAATAGAAAATAATAAAAAATAGAAGAGAAGAGAATATAGAACAGAAGAGAAGATAGGAGAGAAGATAGAATAGAATAAAACAAAGAATAGAATAGAATAGGAATAGAATAGAACAGAACAGAACAGAACAGCAGAGTTGGGAGGGATCTTGGAGGTCTTCTAGTCCAACCCCCTGCTTAGGCAGGAAACCCGATACCACTTCAGACAAATGGTTCTCTTCTTAAAAACTTCCAGCGTTGGAGTATTCACAACTTCTTGAGGCAAGTTGTTCCACTGATTAAATTGTTCTAACTATCAGGAAATTTCTCCTTAGTTCTAGGTTGCTTCTCTCCTTGATTGGTTTCCATCTGCTGCTTCAGGTGCTTTGGAGATAGGTTGACCCCCACCCACCCCTCGTCTTTGTGGCAGCCCCTCAAATATTGGAAGGTGGTATCATGTCTCCCCTAGTCCTTCTTTTCATCAAACTAGACATCCCCAGTTCCAGCAACCTTTATATGTTTAGCCTCCAGCCCCCTGATCATCTTGGTTGCTCTTCTCTGCACTCTTTCTAGAGTCTCAACATCTGTCATTGTACAGGGGAATGATTGAGTCTGTCATTTGCACCTCTGTAACTGTCTGGTTTGGCTCTGCGACCAAACAGGACAGACAAAGACTTCAACTGATAGTTAGGACTGCAGAAAAAAAACAAATTGCAACCAGCCTGCCTTCCATTGAGAATCTATATATTCTATACGTCAGAAAGAGGGCTGAGAAAATATCCCGTCATATCTTGGGCATAAAGTGTCCCAACTTATTCCCTCGAGATGACACTGTGGGGTATTGCACACCAAAAACAACTAGACACAAGGACAGTTTTTCCCCCATGCCATCACTCCGCTAGACAAGCTGAGGAATACTTAGTAGGGCTGCGTTACTATTATCTTTCTCCTATTTCCTACGACCTGTTTCCTTATCTTCTTAGGGCTATGATTTATAGCTTACGATTTATATAGCTTATGATTTATAGCTTACAATTTATATTACAGGTAGTCATCAACTTAACAACACTTCATTTAGTGACCGTTGAAAATTACAATGCTACTGAAAAAAAAGGGGATTTGTGAGCCTTTTTCACACTTAGGATCTTTGCCGCATCCCTTGTTGTAAGTCAAGGACTACCTATATATTTAGCCATGCTGTATGGTTGTAGTAGAAGTATTATCCTTCTCATCTTCTCTACTACCCCTCTGTATCGGAATCATTATTATGATTGTTGTTACTCTGCCGCTTTGCATATACAGGTTAGTCCTCGACTTACAACAGTTCATTTAGTGACGGTTCAAAGTTACAACATCACTGCCAAAAGCGACTTAGGGACACTTTTCAAACTTACAACCATTGCAGCATTCCCCACGGTCACCATGATCAAAATGCAGACGCTTGGCAACTGACTCATATTTATGACGGTCGCAGCGCCGGGGGTGGGGTGGGTGTCACACGGTTCCCTTTTGCGACCTCCATCCGAGCAAAGTCAGTGGGGAAGCCCAATTCATTTAACAACTAACTGCGTTACTAATTTACCAACCGCAAGGATTCGCTTAATCCCTGCGGCCGGCAAAGCCGTAAAACAGGGCAAAACTCACTTGGCCACAGAAATTTGGGGCTTGATTGTGGTCGTATGTTGAGAGCTTTTGCATCCGAGACAAATCCCTCGTTATGTCTAATCACACTTGGGCAATTAATACTGCTTTATTGGGCAAGTAGGATTAGACACAAGGGGTTTCCCAAACCTTTCCAGATTGGCGGGAGAAGGGATGGGTCCACTTGAGCGGCCAGCAAGCGCACTCATGCAGATCCATTTTTGCAAGCATCAAAGATGCGAACAGCCACTGCTCGTGCACAGGTCACGCAGGTGGGGATGGCCCGACGTTTCTGCGGCCCACTTGCAAACAGTCTCATGCTCAGTAGCGGGCCATGGCCTCATGGTTGGGGACCCTGCCATAAAGTAATCTATTCTACCCTTCTCCTTTAGGCCAGAGCGGTGAAGACCGCAGGAGGCGGCCATGCGCTGGTGAGCGAAGAGCGGGAAACTTCCCTTCGAAGTCGGAGAGCTGCTCAGCGGGTGCCTGTCAAAGAGGAGGAGGAAGAGGAGGAGGAGGAAGAAGAGGAGGAGGAGGAGGAGGAGGAAGAAGAGGAGGAGGAGGAGGAAGATGCGCCCCCTTTGCTGGTCGGCCAGACGCCCATGAGGCCTGAGGAGCCGGGCATGCCAGCTCCCCAAGAGACGGGCATGTTCCAAGCTTCCCTGCCCTTCGTCCTGCAAGCCCAGCAAACGGAGGCTCGCTCTCAGATGCCAGACAGCCCAAGCGGCGAAGCCGCCATGCCAGTCCTCGCACACTTGCAGAGATCAGAAGACGAGGAGGCTCAGCCCTGGGCAACAGACCCCGGGGAAAAGCAACAGGCAACTCTAGCCCCAGGGGAATCCCCCATGGAAAAGGATCCCCTCCCAGATACCCCAAAGGAGGTTGCACCCCAGTTACCCGAAGCCTTAAAAATGGAGTCCGAAGAAGACCCAGGCCTTCTGAAGGAGCCGAAGTTGACCGAAACTCTCCAGGAGAAGGAGGAGGAGATGATGGAGCAGGGTGAGACTCCAGCGGCTGTTGTCTTACAGAAGGAGGGAGAACCCCAGAACAAGGGGACCCCAGAAGCAGTGGCAACCCAGGCGCTGCGCAGCCTAGAGGAAGAGGCATCTGCTGTCGCCGCAGCGCTAGTACAGGCCTCTCCGTCTCCCCCGCAGCTGATCGAAGCACAACAGTCGCAACAGGATCCCCGGGGGGATGAGCTGCCTCTGCCACTCCTGACCAAGGAAGCCCCCGCGGGACTCGCTCCCGCGGAAGACGAAGCCCCTCCTCAGCTCTCTCAGCCATCTCCCCCCGCTCAGGAAGCACCGGCTGCAGCCAGCCTCGGAACCTCGTCATCCCCCTTGGCGCTCCCGCCACACCAGCCCTTACGGCCCGGCAGCTCCCGCTCCTCCTCCTCCTCGTCCTCCAGCTCCTCTCGTTCCCGCTCCCGGGGCAGCTCACCACTACGCTCCCGGGCTAGGAGGACCCGCTCCGCTTCCTCCGAATCACCTGCTCGGAAACGGCCAGCTTTAGAATTACGATCCCGCTCCAACTCAGAGCGGCGTAGCAGTTCGGGCTCCCAGTCCCGTTCCAGCAGCAGAGGCAGCAGCAGCAGCAAGGTGAGTGGGTTCGGCAGTGGTGTCTTTACAAACCAAGTTGGGAAATTTAACAGGTTGTCCTCGACTTACAACAGTTCCGTTAGTGACTGTTCAGAGTTAACAGCCCTGAAAAAAAGTGACTCATGATAGTTTTTCACACCATTGCAACATCCCCATGGATGTTAATGGATGGATAATGGATGGATGGATGGATGGATGGATGGATAGATAGATAGATAGATAGATAGATAGATAGATAGATAGATAGATAGATAGATAATTAGATGATAGATGATAAGAGATGATAAATAGGTAGATAGATGATAGATAGTTGGATGATAGATGATAAGATAGATAGATAGATAGATAGATAGATAGATAGATAGATAGATAGATAGATAGATAGATAGATAGATTAGATGATACGTACAGATAGATTGAATAACTTTTCCCCCAAATGTTTTTTTATTTTATTTTATTTTATTTTATTTTAAAACATACAATCCATCTTCCATTTAAACTGTGTGTCACCTGGGTACAAATTTCTTGTACAATAACAATTACAATTTACATATATTCATTGTATTGGTATTAATTCTCTATTCTTACTTAATACTGATATACATAATACATCTGATTGTAATAATCCTCCCTATTGTAACATTTTAACTCTATTAACATATTTTCTATACTTTAGTCATCTTTAAAAATTTCTAACTCCCATATTTATTCTGCAACTATCGATAAAAAGATTCCCATATTAAATAGTATTCATTTTGTTCTTTCTCTTCAATTACAAGCGTTAGCCTATTCATCTCTGCACATTCTAAAATTTTCCTAATCACCTTCTCATCCATAGATAGAATAACTTTATTGTCACTTTGAATATCCACTAATCGGCATACATTAAAATGAAATTTTTATGCATCCAGCTCTCAAAGGATCACCACCTCCAATATACACCTTATAAACATGACAGAATAAATAAATAAATACAAAACTACACAAATACGTATATCATATAACACATGATCTTTTCCCATGCATTCAGGTTGTTTTTCAGCTTGCTATATATTGCTTACAGGTGTTTTTCCAAGTTTTCCATAGCTTTACAGCTAGTCCTCGACTTACAATGGTTTGCTTAGTGACCGGGGTCACGGGATTCCCGTTTTGCGAACTTCTGATGAGTGAAGTCAATGGGGAAAGCCTGATACACTTAACGACCGGGTTACTAGTTAAATAACTGCAAGGATTCAATTAACAAATGTGGCAGGAAAGGTCGAAAAATGGGTCAAAACTCACTTAGCAAATCTTTCACTCGACATAAAATTTGGGGCTCAGTTATGGTCGTAAGTCGAGGACTACCGGTGTAGACATGCTATATACCGTGCATACACTCAGTGGACAGAAATTTGGTACCCAGTTATGGTCATTAAGTCAAGGATGAGCTGTATAAGCGTAGCTGTTTGCTAGCAATGGCCTGTTTTGAACCCAGTGCCTAGAGCTAGGGGCTTTTAAATCAGAACTGCAGGAGCCTTGTGGGACGTTGCCACCTGAGCAAGGCTGTGTCAAACGTTTTCTGAAAATAAATACATGTATTTCCAGCTCAGAATAAGTTGATTTTTTTCAGGGGATAATGAGAACACTTGGTGTAAAGAAATCAGATTTTAGGCACCTTCCTGCTTGTTTCTAGACAAGCGTTTTCAAGTTTTGTATCTTTAAAAAAAAAAGATACATTTCAAAGCTTGCCAAAATAAAAGGGAAACGAGGCAGGGAGCTTGGTTTAAAGCACTTCAGGATGCTTTTTTAAAAAAAAAACAAACACCAATTTTTTTCAGTGTATTGTTATACAATTTGAGAGATGCTATCCCTCCAGTTGTTTGTCCACAAGTGTCTTCAAAGCCAACGAATTTCATAAAAAGACTATAAATATATCCAGAATTTATAAAATCCAGCAACTTCTTTTTTTAAAAGGCATCTTCATTTAATTGCTTGGCATCACTCGATCTTTTGAAAGTAAAGAAACTGCAGAGGTCTTTATAGGATATGTCTTCTGTGTGAAAAGTGTTTGGTCAGGCAGCGGAAACTGTATAAATTCGATGAAAACATTTAAAAATGTACATTTTCCTCCTTGAAAACAACAATTCTTTCTCTGATGTTTCCTTGAAAATAAGACCCAAATGGAAAATAAGCCTTCAGGATGCTCGTGATATAAGCCCAACCCTAAAAATAAGCCCCAGTTAAGATTGTCAGTCAGAGAAACACATTTAGAACTATATTTCCCTGAAAATAAGACCTAGAAGTAGAAAATAAGACCTAAAGTGTCCTTTGGAGCAAAAATTAATATAAAACCCTGCCTTATTTTTGGGGAAACACAGTATGTAGATTTTCAGTGGCAAATCCATAGAATTAATCCTATAGTTTGTGAGGTCCCTGTTGCTGTCTGAGTTTGGTGGTTTTCTTGCAGACGTTTCATGACCCAACTAGGTAACATCATCAATGCTAGAAGGGAGTGGGGTTTTAGAAAATGAGGAGGATGACTATGGGGTCCTTTTCTATGGGGAAATTCATAGAATTAATCCTATATTCTGGGAGATCCCTGCTGCTCTCTTAGCGTGGTGGTTTCATGACCAAACTAGGTAGCATCATCAAGGCTCAGGGTGGATAAAAATTGACTTTTTTAAAAAAAATTGATTTTTTAAAAATTTAAATCAGTTTTTTAAAATTTAAATCGGATTTTTATCGAATTTATTTTAATAAAATGCTTTTGGAATAAAAAGCTATCTAAAGATAGATACATTCATAATTGAGCTTGTTCATCATGCAATAGTGATATAACATGAGGCTGTATATAGTCTGCAATATTTATATTTTTGGTAAACTCATTCCACAAGTCCAAGCTCTACAAGCTAACAGGCACTACGTTGATGCATTCACACAATTTCACAGCAGGGATGACAAAAAATTATGTTTTAAATTGTGTTGATTTAAATCGAGCCTTTTTACTAGTGATTTAAATCGTGATTTAAATCAAGTCCACCCTGTCCGTGTTGACATGATGTTAGTCCTGGCACTGAGGATGTTACCTAGTTTGGTTATGAAACGTCTGCAAGAAAACCACCCAGCTCAGAGACTACCAGGGACCCCCACCGTTCACCCCTGAGCTACATAACACAGGTAGTCCTTGACATGCGACCACAACTGAGCCCAAAATTTCCATCACTAAGTGAGACAGCTGTTAAGTGAATTGTGCCCCATTTTACGGCTTTTCTTGCCACGGTTGTTAAGTGTGAATCATTGCAGTTCTTAGCAACACTGTTAACTAGGCCAATCTGGTTTCCCCCAGAAGGTCGCAAAGAGATCACACGAACCATCAGAAATATGAGTCAGTTGTCAAGCGTCTGAATTTTGATCGTGGGGACGTTGCAATGGTCGTACATGTGAAAAATGGTCCTGAGTCACTTTTTTTCAGGGCCATTGTAACTTTGAACGTTCACTAAATGAACTGTTGTAGGTTGAAGGCTACCTGAATTCTTCTATAGGAAATGAATGAATGAATGAATGAATGAATGAATGAATGAATGAATGAAGAAAGGAGGGAGAAGAGAGAGTGGAAGGAAGGGAGGGAGGGGAGAAAGGAATGAAGATAAAAGAAGGGAGGAGGAGATAAAGGAAGGATGGGGAGGATGGAAGACAGGAGAGAAAGGAAAGGAGGTAGGAAGGAAGGGGAGGAAGAAACGAGGGAGAGGAAGAAGGAAGAAGAGAAAGGAATGAAGGAGAGAAAGGAAGGGAGGTAGGAAGAAAGGGAGAAGAAGGAGAGAAAGGAATGAAGGAGAGAAAGGGGAAGAAGAGAAAGAAAGGAGAAAGAAAAGGAAAAGGAAAAGAAGGAAAAAGAGAGAAAGAAAGAAAGACCTATATTTCACCTTAACAAGCCTTTTTGGAGAACACTGGGAGAACCAAGAAGTGCAAAAAATTCTGTTTTTCTTTTTCTTTTCCAGTCCCGCAGCCGTGAAGCTTCACGGGACAGCACCAGTTTTCCCCCCACCAAAGAGCCCTCCCCACCCCACAGCCCCAAGGCCCAGCCCCAAGAGATTCTCTCCAGCTCCAGGGACAAAGAAAGAAGCACCCTCTCCCCTCCTCCGAGGCCACACAGCCACACCCCACAACAGCAACCACCAGCATGCAGCATGCAGGCCGAGACCACGTTTCCAGAACGAGTACGGGGGCATTCCGGGGGTGGGGTGTCTCCTCCTTGGGGTTCCCAGCTCTGCTTCAGCTTAGAATTTGGGGGGGGGGGTGGCAGTCAGGAGACCCGTCCCTATGGCCCCTTCCTGCTAAATTAACCCTTTCCCCCACAGGGCAGCCCAGCGCCCCTCTTTCCCACGGAGGAGGGGTCTGGCCTAGACATCGGGGGCCTCGTCTCAGAGCTGCAGCGTCCGATTGAGCCGCCGCGCAGCAAAATGTGAGTATCGGGGGGGGGCCCTGAGCCAGGATGGGTTAGCTCATGTAGAGTGCCCGACTTGGGACGGTTGATGCATTGGGGGGGAGCGGGGCACCCCAAAAAGCACAGGAGACAGCACTAGGCTCTCTGTGGCTCAGCACATACCAAGCACGGTGCAGTCCCTCACCAATCCTAAACAGAACGGCTGCAGGAAAGAGCAGAGGTTCAAGACCTGATATCGCTGAGAAACTGACCGGACCGTAGCCCATTCCAGTGGGGTGGAGTCAACCTTGGTCTCTTTAAACCAGGGTCTTGTACGGGTGACTCTCAGTCCTTTCTCACATCCCAGGGTTGCAATTCAAGAAAGGAGATAGATAGATAGATAGATAGATAGATAGATAGATAGATAGATAGATAGATAGATAGATAAGAGATATAAATTAGATATAGATTAAATAGATTAGATAGATAGATATAGATATAGATTAGATAGATAAGATATAAATTAGATATAGATTAAATAGATTAGATAGATAGATTAAATAGATTAGATAGATAGATAGATAGATATAGATTAGATAGATATAAATTAGATATAGATTAGATTAGATAGATAGATTAAATAGATTAGATAGATAGATATAGATTAGATAGATATAAATTAGATATAGATTAGATTAGACTAGACTAGACTAGATTAGATAGATAGATAGATAGATAGATAGATAGATAGATAGATAGATAGATAGATAGATAGATAGATAGACAGACAGACAGACAGACAGACAGACAGACTTGGCCAGTTGAATGGGGGACTGGCCTCTTAAGAGAGGGATCCTGCAGTCTCTAAGGCAGTGGTGGCTAACCTTGTGGGTTCCTGTGCCAGAAAATCGTGTGTGTCAGCACCCAGAAGGCCATGCATGTGGGGCACCTCTCCCCATGCCTCCTGTGCATGCACTTCAACCCCCCCCCTCCGGTGTGCGTCTCTGCATGAATGCACGATCCTTCCCGTGTGCCATGCATCTGCGCATGCATGTGAGACCCCCCTGCGTACGCCATGCGTCTCTTCAGGCGTGCACATCCCCCGCGAGCGCCTGCCAGTTACCCGACCATCAGCTGGCGGTCGGGCAGTGCATGCACAGTAGACTTGCTCTGGGCGAGGGCTCGCAGGCCAGCAGTAATAGCATGCCATAGGTTCGACATCACGGCTCTAAGAGAAGGTTCCTGTACGTTTGACCGGTTGGATTTGGGGGAGGGGGAGATGGATCCTGCAGCCCTTCTAAGGGAAGGTTTGTGAGCGCTTGACTGGTTGGATGGTGGCTGGTCTTTAAAAGGCATGGATCCTGCAGCCTCTAGTCTAAGGTTCCTATATGCTGGGGCGGGGGGCG